GCCTGAAATTGTTTTATCTGTCTACTTGTCTATCACTCTCCACATTCCACAACAAATAAAATACAGACATGTGCATACACACATGCGCACGCGTGCACACACACACACACACACACACAGAGACTATCAGAAGTAGGTCATAAAGAATTTTGGGAGAGGTAAAAGCATTTAAATTGTGAAGGGGATGTCTCACCAAGGAAATGACATTTAATGTAAAAACTGAATGAGGAGGGGCACCTGGGTGGCTCAGGTCATGATCTCACAGTTCGTGGGCTTGAGCCCCACATTGGGCTCTGCACTGACAGCCTGGAGCCTGCTTCGCATTCTGTGTCTCCCTCTCTCTCTGCCCCTCCCCTGCTCACACTCTGTCTCCGTCTCTCAAAAATGAATAAACATTTTTTAAAAACTGAATGATGAGAAGTTGACAAGTAAGCAAAGCAGATAGAACAGCTAGTGTGAGGTCTTAGGATGAACAGTGCCATCTGCCTGGTAAAAGAATACCGAGGCATTAAAAGATGGCCAGTCTGCCTTCCCTTACTTCCCGCAGGCCTGGCTATTTCAGGGACACAAAGAGAGTCAATATGTGTACCGACTGAGTGGAAGAGTGTTCCCAGAAAAAGACTGAGTGATGGGTAGGGAACAGATCATATATAGCTTTGTCAATCAGTATAGGAACTCTGAGTTTTACCTTAAGTTCAACATGAAGCCCCTGGAGGTTTATAAGCAAGAGACAGGATAAACGCTAATTTTTTAAACTTCTCTCTGACAGATGATAAGGCACAAAGATGATAGTGACAATGGAAGGTATAGAAGCATTGAGGATATATTTACAGGCAGAGTCAGCAGAACTTGCTATCATATGGGAAGTAGAGGGTGAGGGAAGTAGAGAAATTAAGGCTGACTCCTATATATTGAGCCTAAGTAACTGAGTAATCGTAGCGATGTTAACTGAAGTGGGGAATACCGTGGGGAGGAAAACTCAGGAGCAGGAATTGAGAAGGTGGACTCAAATATTCTGCTTTAGACTAAATTTGAGCAGCCCGCTGATACTCAAGTGGAGATGTCAGGTAGCAAAGGACTATATGAGTTTGTATTAAGGAAAGAGATCAGCTGTGATGGTATATATTTGAAAATTGTTAGTGTAGCGATGCTGTTTGGGCCATGGCCTTAGGGAGGGAGTATAGCTAAGAAGGATAGACAGTCTGATACTGAGCCCTGAGAGTCTCCAAGATCTAGAGGCTGAGCACAGGAGTTACAACTCTGTAAGCATAAGAACAGCAATGAGGCAGAATTGGAACAACGATCAATGAGGTAGAGTGACTGTCAGGAGGGGTTAAAAACGAGAAGGAAAGAGGGGCGCCTGGGTGACTCCGTCAGTGGAGCGTCCGACTTTGGCTCAGGTCATGATCTCGCAGTTTGTGAGTTCGAGCCCCGCGTCGGGCTCTGTGCTGACAGCTTGGAGCCTGAAGCCTGCTTCAGATTCTGTGTCTCCTCCTCTCTCTGCCCCTCCCCTGCTCATGGCTCTGTCTCTCTCTCTCTCTCTCTCAGTAATAAATAAACGTTAAGGAAAAAAATTCTTTTTTTAAATGAGAAGGAAAGAGAAGTCAGCCTGTTGAATGCTGCCAAACGCTCATGAGTAATGAAGACAGAAAAGTTTGCTACATTTCATTACCTTACCAATTCAGAGGAATGGTGGACCCTACCACTTAATTGGGATGAGTTCAGACCAGTAAAAGACAGAAAACTGTGAAGACAATGAGTGATTACTGACCTTTTACATTTTTTTTAATGTTTATTTACTTTTGAGACAATGCGAGAGACAGACTGCAAGCAGCGGAGGAGCAGACAGAGGGAGCCACGGAATCTGAAGCGGGCTCCAGGCTCCGAGCTGTCAGCCCAGAGCCCGACACGGGGCTCGAACTCACGGACCGTGAGATGCTTACCTGAGCCGAAGTCAGGCGCTCAACCGACTGAGCCACCCAGGCGCCCCACTGACTGTCCTTTTAGAAACTTGGCTGAGGAGGGGCGAGAAGAGGGATGGGCAGCAGCTAGGAAGGGAACTGGAGTCAAGGAAAACTCCGCAGGTATTTTTCAAGATGTGAGATACTCAAGCCCATATATACATTGATGAGAATAAACCAGGGGACAGGGAGGAAGTTGATGGTACCAGGAAGAGGGCATAACAGAAGTGAAGACTTTGACAAGTGCCATTAGGCCCCACAGCCTCAGCAGAAGACCTGGCCTAAGGTAAGGACGGAGGCCACTGAGCCAGGAAGCCAAGCAAGCAGAGAGTGTGCACAGAGACCACAAGTGAGTAGATTTGGTAAAAGGGAGATGAGGGGTTCACAGCTGACTGTTCTAATTTCTTAGCGAGGTAAGAGGCAAGATCATGACTTGAAAACAGATGGTGGGGATCCAGGTGTTGACAATGTGTGGAGAGCAGAAAACATGTAAAATGTAATTTTAAAGATAGGGCAAGCCCACATATTGGAGGACTCCGGGGACACTGGGGAATGCCCACTAGAGACTGTCCGTGAGTTCCAAAGTAGACTGGCGCCACGACTGTGGGCCATTTTCCCACCTTTCCGTTAGTCAAGTGCAGACAAGGAGTACTCTAACCAGATCTGGAGTTTGCCAGGTGAGGTTGACAAAGAGGAGGCGAGGGAGTTGAATAAGTTAAAGGCGAATGGTTACAATGCTGGATCATATTATCTCATTTGGCTAAGAAAAAAAAAATGTGCAGACATGGAGAAGACTAGAAAAGTAAGAAAAATGGTTAAGGGGAAAGAGTGGGCATCTCCAGGAGGACGAGAAATGATTTGAAATGGAGCATTCTAGGTTAGGAGCCGTAAGTTTAAAAGGCACTGGCCAGAGACTGGAATACAGAAATCAAGATTTCCAGGTATACAGTTATTGGTGGTCAGTAGTGTTTAAATAGGCAGAGATAGGCCGGAAGGAAAGGTGCCTGGAAATGAGGAAGTCAACGAACTGCGAGGCCAGGGTGCTGTCTTGGTTGTGTTTAAGGGCATTGAAGGACCCCCCCACCGGTTCCAGGAGTAAGACAGAGATGAACAACTTGGTGAGCATGGTGCTGCAGTCTTCGGTGGACAAGGGGAAGTGGCCAGAAGGTTAGGATGATGACAGCAACAAGCGTGAGCAGTGGGCGGTGTTGTCTTGTGGCGTGAATTTCCAGCAGTTGGGTGTTGAGAAGACAGACAGGAGAGGAGTTGTTGAAAGTGACACCTGCGAGCCAGGAGCATACCTCCTCCAAGTCCCAGCCCAGAGAAAAGAGTGTTTTGAGAGAGAAACAAAGAGCCTCCAGGTGACAGGCAAATCAGTGTTCCCAGGGAAAAGTCGGGTTTTGATCACAACGTGAAAGTGAAGGGAACATTGAGGGCATAAGGGAGTTTGAAGATGTCGGGCTCCAAATTCCAGCAGGCTCTGCAGAACATTTCAGGAGAGCGGGGTGAAGGGGACAGATTAAGTACATGGTGGTCAATGAAAGGCCCGGAGGATACAGGATCAGCCATGAAGACTGGGATCCTACGGCCTCTGAGAAGAGCTAAATTCAAGCAGAAAGACATGGGGGCATGAGGTCACTGACCTCTCAGTTCCCCAGGATGCAGCAGCCAAGAAGATAAGCAAATTCCTCTCAAACAGGAATGTCTTCCTGGGCCCTGCCTCACAGAGGTCTCTGGTTCTGTACTGCTCTCCAAGGTCACCCTGTACCGCTCTCCCTCCCTCTTTTCTGCTCTGGTCCTGATGGGATTTTTCTCAGTGCCTCAAAGACACTATGTTTCCTCCCACCTCAGTACCTACACTGACCCAAGTGATCTCTCCACTTTCTTCCTTTGACATAGTCTTACTCAGCCTTCAGGTTTCCATCTAAGTATGAGTTCTTCTCTTACCCCAATTCCACACTTCCATGGCACTTTCTAGCTCTTCATGAAATTTCTGTCGAACAAGAGTTTTCGATGCTGGATTGTAAGCTCCGTGATGGCGGAGACTACATTTTCTTCTCTTCTCCATCCTCCTGTACGCAGTATAAATTTGTGCCTACAAGGCACTCAATTACTCTCTACCAACAGACTGACTGAAAAACTAGTCTGACTGGTGTCAATGCATTCCAGAGTAAAATACCATCAGCTCAAGAAACAAAGCAATCAGGAAGTGTCTGGATGGCTCAGTAGTTTAAGCATCCAATTCTTGATTTCGGCTCAGATCATGATCTCACAGTTGTGGGATAGAGCCCCGAGTCGGGGCTTAGCATGGAGCTTGCTTAAGATTTTCTTCCCTCTCCCTCTGCCCTTCTCCCACTCACACGGGCACACACACCCATTTTCTCTCTCTCTCTCTCTCTCTCTCTCTCTCTCTCTCTTAAAAAAAAAGAAAAACAATCAGGATTGATTTTACTTTAACCTGTTGGGCTATTCCTAATTAACTGTTACTAATTAATTAGCAATTGCTTAGAAAGTTTATCAGGGTATTACTTATTCTTTCCGGTACCTTTCATGTAAACTCCTATTGGCACAGGTTTCCTTATTTTTTCCTTCAAAACAACATTGGAACATGTGAATCAAATCATCATCCAAACTTCATTTTGTAGTCTCATACTGAACCCATCCCTTAGATTCAAAGACATAAAATCTCACTAACAACATCCTGCAGGACTGGGACGGACACATAGAAACAGTAAGTTACCTGCACACGAGATATAAGCTTCCTCTTTTGCAGAGCATGATCTGTGTTTCCACGGGCCAGAAGGACATTGCCAGAGAGAGAAATCGGTTTTCCGACACTGGATTTGATCCACCCACCGAAGTCTAGAACCCTCCCTGGGAACTACGGAAGAGTCGAGGGTCCCATTGTCTCCACAGCCAAGCTGTCTACAGATGATGGACAAGGTCATGGGTGTCATAGGGCTGTGGCAGACACTGCCCCAGGTCCCGTTGTAGAAAACTTCCAGCCACCCGGCACACTCCTGGTCCTTGCTCACCAACCTGAGGTTCAGGAAGTCTACATCGAAAGGAGAGAGAGGGGGAAACAGTCCACAGTAAACATTCCACTCAAATGCTCTTGATTTTTTTTTTTTCTCTCCATGCCAGAGATGGTGAACGTTCATCGCTGACTCTGCTGAGGAAGCACCCACGGGATGACAAGGCTGAAATCTGTCTCCCTTCTACCTGCTTTTGTCTGTTTGTGTCTGTCTTTCTATTTCCACCACAATGACTTAATGGACTATGAACAGAGAGGGCACTCTCCACGGAGGGCAAGCTGAATCCTGCTTCCTGACAAAACTTCTAACAGAGTCTGGGAAAGAGAGTGTGGAAAGTGGGATGCTGGCAGAATAAAGCCCCCTCAAAGGTGTTGTGTAAATATGTTACCTTACATGGCAAAAGAGACTTCGCAGATGTGATCAAGTTAAGGACCTTGGGATGGTGACATTAACCATAATGGAATATGTGGAATATAACCATAGTGGAATAGTGTGGGTTAAGCAGGTGAGCCCAAATCCAATCACGTCCTTAAAACCAGGAAGACTTTTCCAGCTTCAGTCAGAGGGAAACGTGACTATGGAAGAATGGGAAGAATGCTCAGAGGGAGCAACGTTGTCAGCCTGAAGAAAAAGAGAGGGAGCTAACTACCAGCCAGGGAATGCACACGGCCTTAAGAAACTAGCAAAGATGGAGAAAAGGGATCTCCCCTAGAGCCTCCAGAAAGAATGCTGCCCTGCCAACACGTTGGTTGGAGCCCAGTGAGACCCTTGGTAGACTTCTAACAAACAAAACTCTAAATTCATAAATTTGTGGGGTGCCTGGGTGGCTCACTCGGTTGAGCGTCCGACTTCGGCTCAGGTCATGATCTCGCGGTCCGTGAGTTCGAGCCCCGCGTCGGCCCTGTGCTGACAGCTCGGAGCCTGGAGCCTGCTTGGATTCTGTGTGTGTGTGTGTGTGTGTGTGTGTGTGTGTGTGTGTGTGTGTCTTTGCCCCTCCCCCACTCGCGCTCTGTCTCTCTCACTCTCAAAAATGAATAAATGTTAAAAAAAATTGTTTTTTAATTTAATAAATTTGTGTGGTTTCTACCACTAACGGTGTGGTCATGCATTTCAACAGCAATGGGACCTCAAGACTTTGCCGCCACAGAAAACTGAAGAGCGGGCCCTGCTTTAGAATGGAAACTGTAGGAAATGGCTGTCAGGAGGTCTTGCTGAGAAGGAAGGACCTCAACCCCAGCTGCCACAGGAGGAAAAGAAAGCATCTAAGCTTCACATCTGCTAGAAAGTCCGGCACTGGGGCAGGAAGATTTCTTCTCCTCTGGCCCTTTCAGCAACACCCCCTCAGGGCTCAGCCTCCCCTCCTGCAGAGCTCCCCACCTCCTCGCCCAACCTGCAGACGGGGTGCGGGAGGACCTGAGCAGACGACCCCGGCGTCTTCCTTGTGCCTGCAGTCGTGCTGCCCCCAGCCCCGGGCGGGGCACTTCCAAATGTGAGACTCCTTTCCTGTGCAGTTCACGTCGTCCAGCCAGATGGAGTCTGATCCCGCCCCGAAGTGAGCGGAGACCGTGGCATTGAGGGCCTCGCCGCAGCCCAGCTGTCTGCACACCACGTGGGCGTCGTTCAGGTCCCAGCTGTCATCACAGACGGTGCCCCAGGAGTCCTGGTAGCGGATCTCCACTCTGCCAGCGCAGGGACCGCCTCCGTCCACCAGGCGGAGCTGTCTGTGATCTGAGGGGAGAATCAGGCCACTGGGGCATCGAACAGGAAACGGGAAGGGCTTTCTGGTCCAGTGGGACCCCTCACCTGAGCAGTTGGGAGCACTCTCCCGTGAGCCCGCAGAGGCCGCCGGCTCAGACACAGAGTCGTCGCACTGGGGCAGTACCTGGGTCTGGTTTCCTGCAGAAACAGCAAGGTCAGAGGGTTACTAGGGTTGGAGAACAGGAAGCTGACTTAAACTAAATATGGAACCTGGGGCCGGGGTCTGAGATGAAAGCTGTTACGTGAGAGTAATGTTATCATAATGGTAGAATTCACTTCCTGCTTCTGACAAGGCCAAGATTTGTCTTTCAAGCCAAGTGCGGCACTAAGCATGAATTGTAAAATGTGGGAATGTATCGGGGCACCTAGGTGGCTCAGTCGGTTAAATGTCCTACCCTTAGGTTTTGGCTGAGGTCATGATCTCACTGTTGACAGGTTCAAGCCCCTCATTGGGCTCTGCGCTGGCAGCACTGAGCCTCCTTGGGATTCTCTCTCCTCTCTCTCGGCCCCTCCCCCACTCATGCTGTCTCTCTCTCTCTCTCATAATAAATAAATAAACTTAAAAAAAATAAGTGGCAATATATCAGTACTGCTTGAAAGCGTTGAAGATCTACCAAGGCAGTGAGAATTTGGGGAGCCAAGCTCTAAGAGAAAAGATGGCCAGAGGTGAGCCACTTCCCCTCGAGGCCTTTGTCAATTCCAAGACTCTAGCGAAGATGCGGAAAGGTTCAGCACAGGTTTTGCCAGACTCACAGGGCTCTGGGAATAAAAGAATAATTGAGGGTCAGCCAAGGAGGAGGCACCCTATTAACCAGAGCCCTTGAACCATAGAAAGAAAACTGAACTAAAAGTAGACTATTCCTCACAAGGACAGATGCACAGCATCTAATTATGCAATTCCTTTAAATAAGATGATCTGGCCATAAACAGGTGCCAGGAGGAAGCAAAGTAAAATCCTTTCTGAAGGATTTCTATAATGTTTCATCTATGATGTCTGCCAATCAAAAATGCCCAAGCAGAGGGGCACCTGGCTGGTTCAGCCGGTAGAGCATGAGACTCTTGATCTTGGGGTCATGAGTTGGAGCCCCATGCTGGGGTAGAGATTACATTAAAAAATTAAAATCTAAAAATAATAATAACCGGGAATAAAAGAGAAGAGATTTGACAAAAATCCAGGAGGATAAAAGAGGCATTGGAAAGAAATGTACAGGGTATCCAGTTGTTGGAGTTACCTGACAAGGAGCTTAAATTACCACGAATGAAATGTTTGTGGGGGCGCCCGGGTGGCTCAGTTGGTTACGCATCTGACTCTTGATTTCAGCTCAGGTCATGATCTTACTTCATGAGATCAAGACCCACATCGGGGTCTGCACTGACAGCATGGATCCTGCTTGGGATTCTCTCTCTTCCTCTCTCTGTCCCTGACATCCCCCGTCAAAAATAAATAAACTTATGCATCTAAAAGATGTATAGGATATACTGAGATATATATTGCCAAATTATCTTCCAGGAATTTTGTAGTCTTTGCTCTTCTACTAAACTATAGTTTTCTACTACCGCATACCTACCACTAACATCGATTATCTTAATATTTTTAAATCACTGTCAACATGGTAAAATAATCTCTACTTTGAAAAAGGACAAATCCAATTTTCACTCATGCAGGATGGCATCTAATATCAATTTACCATGCTTGTACAAGATTTCATTCTCCTGACTATGGCCACAACTCAAATTGGAAGGAGATTCTACATAATAACTGGCTCGTATTCTTTAAAAAATGTCAATGTCATGGGGCGCCTGGGTGACTCAGTCGGTTGAGCGTCTGACCCTTGATTTCGACTCGGGTCACGATCTCACAGTACATGGGATCGAGCCCCGTTTTGCGCTCCATGCTGAGCGTGGAACCTGCTTAAAAGACTCTCGCTTTCCTTCTGCCCCTCCACCCTGCTCATGCTCTGTCTCTCTAAAAAATAAGTCAATGTCATGAAATACAAAGTGAGATTCAGGAAGTGTCCTTTATTAGAGAAGACTAAGGGGTATGACAACTGAATGTAGCATATTACCTCACCTCTTTTTTTGCCGCGAAGCATGCATTTGGGACAGTTGTGAAATTCTGAATAAGGCTTGTGAACTAGATAATAGAATTATAACAATGCTAATTGATCAAGAGATGAATGGAGAAAGAAGATGCGTCATATATATAATGTAATATTATTCAACCATGAGAAAGAAGGAAATTCTGTCATTTAAGACACCAGGGATGGATAGTGACGGCATTATGCTAAATGGAATAAGTCGGAAAGAGAAAGATGGGTAGTGCATGATATCATTTTTATGTGGAATCTAAAAACAATCAAAATCATAGAAATATGGAATAGAAAAGCTGTTGCCAGGGGGCGTGGGGTGAAGGAAATAGGGAGAGTTTTATAAAAACGTACAGACTTCCAGTTATAAGATGAATAAGTTCTGAGAATCTAATGCATAACACGGTGACGACAGCTGCTAACACCATATTGTATAATTGAAATTTGCTCTCAGAGTTGAACTTAAATGTTCTCACACACACACAAAAAGATAAATGTGTGAGGCCAAAGCTGTATTAATTAACTAGAATGGGGGAATCGTCTTACAATGTACATGCATATCCAGTCACCGTATTGTACCTTTCAAATGTCTTACAATTTTGTCAGTGACACCTCAGGAAAGCTGAAATTTAAAAATATTTTTGCTTAAAAAAAAACATGATTACGGTTTGATTGAGGTGGGATTTAATCTACAGATGAATTCTGAGGTAACCAACTTTGACAATATTTAGTATTTTCAACTCATTTATATGGTGTGTCTGTCCATTGTTTACATCTTCTTTAATTTGTCTTGAAGATCTTTTATGTCTTTGATTAGCTTTTCTCCCCAGTATTTTATGTTTTGATCTTTTTGTGAGTAGTACAGCTTTTTATCTATTTTCTATTTATTGATACTATTTATTAAGAAAATTATTTTTTGCATATATTTTGTGCATGGGCTTGTACTTAGCAATGTTATAGTTAGACTGTAACTTCTAATAACCTAACTGTAGATTCTCTTGGGTTTTCTTGCAGTCATGCAGTCTATAAATAATTGTTTTGTTTCTTCCTTTCTAATTCTTATACTTAAAAATTTTTTGTGCTCTAGTAAACTGTTGGATAACAATGGTGGTAGATATTAATATCATCTCTCTCATCTGAGGGAAAAATATTTCAATATTTCACCATTAAGTGTGACATTTTCACCAGATTTTTTTAATGAGGCCTTTGTAGACTGAAGAAAGTTCCTTCTATTTTCAATATGCTAGGAGATGTTCTCATGCATCGTTGTCAAATCTTTCCAAATGCCTTTTCCACATCTGATGAAACGATTACATGGTTCCTTTTTTGTTTCGTTTTGTTAATTGGCATATTTTACACTAACTTTGCATTTCTGGGAAAACTCTGGTTGTGGTGCATTCATTTTTGTACATCTCTGGATTCAACTTGCTAACATTTTCTTCATGAATTCTGCACCTCTATAGAGAAATTGGTCTGTAATTCACCTTTCTTCCAATGTCCTAGATTTTTACATTTATGGTTCTTGCAACTATTCTGTAAGTTTGTGTTCATTTAAAACTAAAAAGCTTAATACATCGGAAAAAAAGAGAATTAACACTCAATCTTCCAAATAATTAAAAAGAGAGAGAAGATAACTCCTACTTCATTTATGAGAATTAGAAAAATGTATACGTGGGAGGTGGTGAGTTTAGCAATTTCACATGTCACCATGTTGGACTCAATCATCAAGCTATTTTTTGGTGAAAAATGACAAGATAATTTTAAAAGTTTATATGGAAGGGACTCCTGGATGGCTCAGTTGATTGAGTGTCCAACTGTTGATTTTGGCTCAGGTCATGATCTCACGGTTCATGAGATCAAGCCACCCATTGGGCTCCCATGTTCAGCATGGAGCCTGCTTGGGATTCTGTCTCCAACCCCCTGCTCACTCTCTCTGTCTCTCTCTCTCTGCCCCTCCCCTACTCATGCATGCCCTCTCTCTCTCTCAAAAATAAACATTTTTTAAAATAAAATATATATGGAAAAGACCACAAATGATCCACACACTTGAGAAGAAAAACAATGAAGTTAAAGGAGTAACTTTACCACGTATCAAGACATACTACAAAGTTACAATAATTATGGAATGGGGGCATTAATGCCAGAATAAACAAGGATACAATAGAAGAGAATGGAGTCCAGAAAAAGACTCAGACATGCGTAGACTCATTATGACAAAGGAGGCACTGCAGTGGGGAAAAGTGTCTTTTCAGGGAAGGAGTCTGAGTCTGTTGGGTATCCTGATAAAAATATGAAATTTGACCCCTATCACACATGAAAATCAATTCTAGGACCATACAATTATATGTGAAATAAAGGTAACTAAACTATAAATACCATAGAGGAATATCTTCAGGATCTTTAAAGTTCTCTTTAAAAGGACATAAGAAGGGGCACCTGGGTAGCTCAGGCGGTTAAGCATCCGACTTCAGCTCAGGTCATGATCTCATGGTTCATGAATTCGAGCCCCACATCAGGCTCTGTGCTGAGAGCTTCAGAGCCTGGCGCCTGCTTCGGATCCTGTGTCTCCCTCTCTCTCTGCCTCTCGACCGCTCACACTCTGTCTCTCTCTCTCAAAATAAATGAACATTTAAAAAAATTTTTAATAAAAGGATATAAGAAGTATCGTGTGCCAAAAAAAAAAGTTGACACACTAAACCTTGTTAAAGTTACGAACTTGGCTTATCAATAAACACCATTAAAAGAGCAAAAATAAAAAGACAAGAGTTAAACACCCAAAATAAATACATAGATATTTGCACCACAAGTCACTGTCACAATTATCTGTAACATCACTATTTGCAATGATTAAGAACTGGAAATAAACCAAAACTCCACCATCAGTTGATGGATCAATACCTGGTCACATGGTCAATCAATGGAATGCTTTACAATAAAAAATGAAGGAAGCACTGCTATAAATAACTCATGCATGAATCACAAACATAGTATGGAATCAAAGAAGTTAGACACAAAATGAAACATACTATATGATTTTATATGAGGCTCAAA